TCTCTGGAAGGAAACTGAAGACCTGGTTACCTGGGACATGGAGAATGTTGAGGTACTCAACAACGTTTTTGCCGAAGTCTTCACCAGCAAGTGCTCCAGCCACACTGCCCCAGTCACAGCAGGCAAGGGCAGGAACTGGGAGAATGAAGAACTGTCCACCATAGGAGAAGATCAGGTTCGAGATTGTATAAGAAACCTGAAGGTGCACAAGTCCATGGGATCTGATGAGGTATGTCCACAGGTCCTGAAGGAACTGGAGAATGAAGTGGCTGAGTCACTATCCATCATATCTGAGAAGTCGTGGCAGTCTGGTGATGTTCCCACTGAATGGAAAAGGGGAAACATAACCTCCATTGTTAAGTAGGGGAAAAAGACCTGGGGAACAGCAGGCCAGTCAGTGTATCATCTCTGTGCCTGTCAAGATCATGGATCAGATCCTCCTGGAAACTACGCTAGTGCCCATGGAAAATAAGGAGATGACTGGTGACAGCCAACATGGCTTCACTAAGGGAAAATTGTGCCTGAAAAATTTTGTGGCCTTCTACAACAGGGTACAGCGTTTGTGGATAAGGGAAGAGCAACTGATGTCATCTACCTGGACTTGTGCAAAGCATTTGACACTGTTCTGCACGACGTCCTTGTCTCTAAATTAGAGAGACATGGGTTTGCTGGATGGACCACCCACTAGGTAAGGAATTGGCTGGATGGCTGCACTCAGAGTTATGGTCAACAGTTTGATGTCCAAGTGGAGACCAGTGACAAGTGGCATTCTTCAGAGTTTTATATTGGGACCAGCACTATTTGACATCTTTCCTGGTGACGTAGACAGTGGGATCAGGTGCACCCTCAACAAATTTGCCAACAACACCAAGCTGTGTGGTGTGGTTGATGTGCTGGAGGGAAGGGATGTGACATCCAGAGGGACCTGGACAGGCTTGAGTGGTGGGATTCTCAGTAAGTTCAACAAGGTCAAATGCAAGGTCCTGCACATGGGTAAGGGCAATCCCAAGCACAAACACGGGCTGGGGGATGAGTGGATTGAGAGCAGCCCTGAGGAGAAGGACATGGAGCTACCAGTGGATGCAGAACTGTGAGCCAGCAATGTGTGCTCACAGCCCAGAAAGCCAACCGTATCCTGGACTGCATGAAGAGAAGTGTGGCCGCCAGGGCGAGGGAGGGGATTCTGTCCCTCTCATGAGACCCCACCTGCAGTGCTGTGTCCAGCTCTGGGGCCCCCAGCATAAGAAAGACATGGACCTGCCCAAGTGGATCCAGATGAGGTCACAAAGATGATCACAGGGCTGGAGCACTTCCCCTGTGAGGACAGGCTGAAAGAGTTGGGGTTGTTCAGCCTGGAGAAGAGAAGGCTTGGGGAAGACCTTATAGCGGCCTTCCAGTACTTAAAGGGGCTACAGGAAAGATGGGGAGGGACTCTACCAGTGATAGGACAAGGGATAACAGTTTTAAACTGAAAGAGGGTAGATTTAGATTAGATATTAAGAAGAAATCCTTTACTGTGAGGGTGGTGAGGCCCTGGCACAGGTTTCCCAGAGAAAGCTGTGGCTGCCCCCTCCCTGGCAGTGTTCAAGGCCAGGCTGGACGGGGCTTTGAGCAACCTGATGTAATTCAAAGGTGTCCCTGCCCATGGCAGAGGGATGGAATTAGATGATCTTTAAGGCTGCTTCCAACCCAAACCATCCTATGATTCTTTATCTCTTAGGGAGCACACAATTGACTCAAATTCAGCTCTGTCTGACTCATTAAGAGGGAACAGTACTTCCTTATTCCAAGATGGGCAAGTTATAGTGACCTTTCTAGCATGTATTTTACTTGACAGTTGACTATGTTTTGCAGTCCTTTAGTTGCCTATAGTAGTTGCAGGATTGCTTCTTCCAACTACAGATTTCTCTAAATCTTAGTTTTTGCCTTTTTTTACATTTATTAAACACAGTGTATCTTTTGCCTTCATTTCTCTTTCCCCACAGTTATTAATAGATCCTGAAACTTGATACAGGCTTGTAGTTAATGAATGAACAGTATGTTTCCTCTTTAAAATATGCTCATAAATTGTGGCTACATGAAATAGATGTAGACACATTAACATTCCAGGGTAGAATTGGAAATCCCCTATCTTGTTTCTCTTTCCCCAGTTATGGCCACAATGTGTGTTGCTTACCTTGCACTAAAATATCAGAAAACTAGTTTGGGAAAACCAGAAGTCGTCTAACTCATTAAATGTTTAATCTTGAGATCATATGGATGCTGTATCCTGCACGGTGGGACAGGGTGGGGAAATGACATAACTGAGCATGAGAAGGAAGGAACTGAATCAAAAGCAGAAGAAACAGGGAGAAAGTGAGGAAGCAAGACTTTCAGTACTGTCGAATTTCTGATATTTTCCACTCTTAAAGTGAACTGTCATCTGCAGATTTAATACAGGTGCCCTTCACTGAACAGAATAACTGAAGTTCATTTTGCCATAAATTGCAGTTCCTTATGCTGCTGTCAGGTTGCATACCTGTGCAAGCCCACCTGAGTTCTTATTTCAGATGTGATTTATGAGATTCTATATCCATTCTAAATGACTACGCTTGCATCCCTGGTTTTAGGTAAATCTAAATTAATTGATCTTCTAATTGGGTCTTATAATTAAAGGATACTGACAAGGTATATCTGAAATAATAATTTTTATGTTAATATTGAGCTTTATAAGTGGTGTGAATTTAATTCAGTAGTTTTCAGTTATGTGAACATGCGGGAGAGCTGACCACGCACACGACCAATGTTATCAAGCAATGCCCGTTTATTACAACTAGAAAGCCCTTTTATAATGTTCTCCCACACACGTGAGTAACATGCAGTACAAGTCCTCAAGACTGGACAGTTAACTTAGCCCGCGCTTTAAACCTTCTTATGACTGGATAAAAAGTGCCACATCAGCCTTGCCAGGCTTCCTGCCTTGGGGAACTTCCTCTTCCGTCCCAACCCCTTCTGGGGGTTGTTTGTCTCATCGTTTCTCCCCCCTCATTCAGGGTTACGTCCTTATCGCATTCTTGCTCAGCTGAGGCTCTTATCAGTCTTGTTCTCACTCAGGATTGCTCACATGTCCATTCTCTCGCAGAAAGCCCTCTAGAATCCCAACATGAACATAGTGAAAAATTAATTATAATTAATATATTAATATATGGGCCCTATTGATAGTCATAGACATCACACAAAAGCAGTGTGTTTCTTACAGTAACAAATTTTTAGACTCTCTGAGGCTTTGGTCTGAAAAGAAAAAAAAAAACAAAACAACTTGTTCATTTTGTTGTAGCATTTTGCACTGTAAATTCTAGGTTCACTAGTGGTCTTGCTCTGTGACTCAAACAGGAAACTTGACTGCAATGATATTAGTGAGTTAGAGCTGTTTCCAATTGATTCCACTTCTTATCTATCCAGAAACTGTATGCATGTTATTTAATTAATGGAAAACATATTTATTTTAGCTAGTTGTGAGAGAAATATGATGAATCAGTTAACCAGAACCAAAAAAAATAAGGGGCTGAGGGAAGAATAACTTTTTCTAGGGGTGAAAAGAAACTGTCAGTCCTTTCTGCTTCCTTAAACTCTTTTGATTGATTTCTTTTTTTCCTTTATTTCTGAGAATGGGTACACTTTGGGTTTGGAATTAAACAACATACAGAAATGAAGCACTTAAGTGGTACGTGGTTACAGTGTTAATTCCTTTGTGTAATCAGAAATACATGCAAGAGTATTAAAGAAATGGTTGAAATCAGCTATGACAGGATATATTCCTGCTGAGAAACCTTTCCGCTCTCACGTCTTTGTTTTGCAGACTGTAGATATGAATGCACAGAAGAGATTTTTCACTCTATTTCTTTCATCTTGGATTGCAGAACTATTGAATATCCAATAGCTAAAATGAAGATTGGTGGAAGTCCGTATTTGAACATTCCATCCTCCCAGGCTTTTCTGTTCCTGATCCCAGGGCCTGCTTTTTTACTCTTAGTACTTTCTTCTATAGCCATAGTTTTGATGGTTTCATACTTTAGACTCATGGTTCAGCTGATTACAGGGACATATTGTTATACTCTTATTACCTATACCAGTCATTTGAGTTTACCTGCTCAAAAGTTGATAGAACTAAACAAAAGTTCCTGTTTTGACAGAAGTTTTAGAAAACCTGGCCAAGCTACATTTTACCTGCCTCCATGAGAATGCTGAAATAGAAAAATATGACAAAATGAAATTGATATACAGTAGCCCAGGGGCCTCTGCCACAAGATTTCTCCTGCAAAAGCATTCTCTGCAAAGCAGGCTTTACAGACAACAGTGACCTGTCTGCATTTTTCTATCTTGCGTTACAGAAAAATGAAAGTGCCATCAGAGTTGCTGACTGCTTCTTGTGCATAGCAGCTATGCTGGGTGTCAGTTCCTGTGATTTGTACCCATTTACACTGCTTGCAAGGAGTGAGATTGCCCAGCAGACTCAAATAACAGAAGTTATAAGAGGAAAAGAAGCAGGAAAGTCTTCAGTATTATAGTCTGGCACACAGAGTGTATACATATTCTTAAAGCAAAGTTGTGCTCAGAGAAGTAAGCTAAACATATAGATGTTAAGTAGGTAGGAAAGGACTTGGAGTTTAAGCAAAACTCAGGAGTTCAACATTTAATTTTAATCAAATAATTTCATGATGGATTGGAATTAAAATCCAAGCTCCTGTGTGTTGATGAGGTGATTGCATGTAAATGCCTTTGAGATATTGTCAATAACTGCTAATGGCTAATTATGTCTGAGAAAGTTTGGATGATAGTAGCTGTCTATTTTTAAATACCAAGATCATAACGCAATTTTCTTTTTCAAATGAGCAATCCTAAATATCAAGTGTGAATTAAAATTTATGTACAGAAATTTCTGAAGTATGAATTCATGTAAATTGGTCTTTCTGGGTCATTCCTTCCTAGGGAAAGTGAGTTATTTTTGAAGGAGATAGCATATTAACCATACAAAATTGCTTTACAGGTCCCATTAAATAGGGGCTTGAGAGCTGGAAGGTCTTGGTCTTTCAATCCAAAAAGCTTACTCTGGTTCACTCGACCTCTGAACCCACCCATGGATGTCAAATCCATTGTTCAAACTGTCGCTCTGGGGATTGGGTAGTTGAGCAGACAGTGACCAAGGACCTTCCCTAACATAATGGACAAGGTTTACTGGCTGCATTAATAAGTATGCAAAACTCACCAGTGATGTATAATCCCTGCTAATGAGATCTTACATCTGTTCTCTAAATGTCCTGGGAGTCTGGACATCTTGGAAATTATGTAACTCAGAAGTAGACTCAGTTTTTCTTCATTCTGAGCATTCACAGGTTGGTTGTTCTGGCCACTTTCTGTAATTTTTCCCAGTTCCTTGCTTGTTGTGTTTCCACTTAATTTAACACTTGTTATACTTCTTTGAGTTATTATGCTATTTTCTTTATCTCCTCCAGTCTTATTTAAGAAGTCATAAATCATTGTGGCAGCTGTTCATTGTCTTGTTACATTTCATTGTCTCATGACCTACAAGAGGCCAGGTGGCAAAACCAGCTTTTGCTTGGGACTAAATTATCTACATTTGTCTCTTAGTGGCAGTTATTCACTAAGGTAGAAACTGTCACCTAACTTTCTCCAATTCCCATATTCACGTACAGTTTTTTTCTTGGTTTTGTTATTCTTTTTCTTTTGACTGTGCTGTATACTTAATGTGCATAGTTATTTTTATTTTGGCTATATTAAGACATTGCAAGTTTATGAACAATTGAACACCCAAACAAAAGTATAAAAATAGACTACGAATAAGAAAGTACAATGAATAGACAAAATCAAAATTTCCCTTTTTATTTCTTTGTTTGACATTTTGGCTGAACATATCTCAAGATCTTGGATTTATTATCTTTCTACATGCTTTTCTATTTCAAAAGCAAAGACATTTAAGATTTCTAATCCACAATCTGGATTAGACTCTGTGTTAGTAATTTTAAAGGCATTTTTCTATTTCCACGTTTTCCAGCTGAAATAAGAAGTTACTTTAATAAAACTGTAAATCAGTCTCACACAACAATTTATATTCTGTAAAAGTCTGAATTGAGGGAGGTTTGTTTATCCAAACAAAGATGGCTCTCTTGAAAGTTTTGACTCCACTGAGAAAGACTTTAACCTTTTAAGTAATCTTACTGAAGCCAAAGCTCCCTGGTATTTATCTTAATCAGTTAATACATGTTAAATGACATGTTATCTACCATATGTCAGCTAATACATCGGGTTGGGATTCTTTAAAAATCACCAGCTCTCCTAATGCCAAAAGGCAAACAATTTTTCTTTCAATTCCCTGACTTTCATTGTCTTGTCTCATGTGATACCATAATTTCCAAGAGTCATTTGAGACTGCCTGCTATTTTACCTTAAATGTTAAGCTGGAAGAAAATAACTTCTGAATTCCTCAATAACTCATAAAGAGCCAAAATAAAATTCAATCACAAATCTTCTTCCCTTTACAAAATATCATAAAATTCAGCTCTTAGAGACACAATTATTTAGGTAAAGAAGTCCAGATACCAAGTTATATCAACACTTCAGCTCTTAACAGGGTGACCAACACTTTTGCATATATTATACATCTAGCATTTCCTGTTATTTTATTTAATACCCTAACAGGTACATACTTAATAAGTAGGCTATTCAGGAAAGCGTGTTTTTCTTCTGAGAGAAATTTATCAGATTTTACTTACATAAATGTAAAGAAATATTGAGTCTTTCCTGGAACATTGTTTTGATGCTTGGAATGATTTTAAAGGAAGCTGAGGATGGCCTAGCTCCTTTTAACAGTTTGCCCACTTCACTGTTGAAAAGTGTGTGCTTATAATGTATATGTCTGTGTTACAAAACTAAATTAGATGGGATTAATCAGGATCTTTATCCAATGGACAGCATGGTACCTTTGTCAGACCCATGGAATTTTTAGGGGGTAATATGAATATAGTAGTAATAGATTGGGTTGTCAAAAAATTATATCAGAAGTACTGTGACACAGTTTTTCTGACAATAATATGCATTTATGTGCATGTTTGCATGCATACTGTGGTCACTGTGTGTGTCTTGAGCAGTGCTCAGCTCATTCTGTAATCAGATTATTAGTTCAGTCGTATTAGAGTACTTTATACTCTGAGGGTATTCCCTTAACCCCATTCTGTTAGCATGCAGAAAATATGGCAAATAGCAGTAATGAACATTAGGTTCAAGGAATAGTCCCTTCTTCTCCATCCCCTACCTCTGCAGCTTTGAGTGTATAGGGGGAAGAAATAAAAACCAAACACTGACACTTGAAATTCACACACTTTTCTCTGTTGTCCTCTTAATCATTTTGATCCATTTTACTAGATAACCATTTTGAGAGCTAGGAATGCTATATTGCAGAAATATGTAAACTAACAGTAAAGTATCATGTTTTATAGATTATCTTACTTTATTAGCATATGCAGCTTTGATATTGTATAAAACACCACTTACAGCTTACTATTCATAACATATACTTACTAAAGTAAAATACTTGTTTATTCTTTCTTAGATATACTTTAGGTACCATATCAGTAGGCTTCCTATGCATATTAAACAGTTTCAGCATGCCTTTCTTATAGGCAGTCATTATGGTTGCACCTTTTTTTGTAAATTAAATGTGCCCAGGAATACTGGTTTGGAGGCCAACTGACATGAAATACTCTGTCTGTACTTTTAAGATGTCTTGCCCTCCAAAATACTGTAGTTGTATGTCCCTTGTGCAGATTCCACACTGGTACCTAGATCTACAGTTCTTTGGGAGACTAATAGACTCAACCAAATCTCTGTCAGGGACCATTCCAAAAATTTAATATAGGCAATCAGGTTCCAATGACCAGGAATGTTCCTAGGTACATGTTCCTAGATATACAAATACGGATGTAGTCGTTGCAGCTAACACATAGTTTCGGACTGTAAAATTCAATGTGACCTTGTTAGCATCTGAGTAGTGTGTGATGTGGTTTTAAATCACACTAATATGCACTTTTTGAATGCTGTTGCCATCTGTATTGAATTCTACAGTAATTTCAGGTTCTGAGGAAAAAAATAAATTCATATATTCTGTTTGCCACCTTCAACATAAATCAGATTAACTACTTTTACTGGCACATTCAGAAAAAAAAATATGGCGACTAAACTTTTTGTGTATGTTCTTTTACATTACAATGAGTGTGAATGATTTACCTATGATGCTTTCTAATATATTAGCAAATATATTGTGAAATACCTAGTTTTCATCATCATCTCAGTAGTTGAGCACTGTACTGCAATCTACTGAATCTTGACTGAAAAACAAAGTAAGACCTCTGAGTTTTGGCAGTACTTATTTTAGAAGATATATACATTAAAAAAGTGATTATTAATCAATATTATAACTAATACCAGTCAGGATTTAGTGAAGGATAGATACCTATCAGCTTACAGGGAATATTTCTATAAAATAATTCCATTCTAGGCCAGTCATTTTGGCAGATCTGTATGGAAAATAATTACAACTTTTAAAATAGTAATTTTTCCAATTCAAGAGCTGCAAGATTCCATCACAGCATCAACAGCCACTTTAAAAACATTTAAGTGTAATTTACTGATGTAGTTTATGAATTTTCTAGACATGCAGAGACAAAGATCTCTGTGCTGAAGAGTTAATGCTACAAGCAGGCAGCATACAGTTGGGAGGTAACTAAGAGATATGAATCAGAATCCTTTCCTTTTCAGGTTTTTTACTGTTCTAGCTGTTTCTTGCTTATAGTTTTGAAATTATTTTTCTAAAGAAATTCTCCAACTGTGTACTTCATTATACATATATAATGTGCTTTTGTGTTTCTTTTATACAAAAAAGGTTTTTAAACCATCTGGATTTTGCTGCATTACTCAGTTAGACCTCCTTTTTTCACCAGAATGGAGACTTCTTGATCTGTCTATGATCCTTACCTTCCTTGTTCTTTCGCATTTAGACCATTTCTCTTTAGCATTTGCACCACTTAATTTTAATTTTAATTTATTTTTCTTTCATCTGGAACTGTAACCTCTGTCTCACAGCCTTCCATTACAGTGAGCCTCAGGGCATGAGACTGCTCTATCACAAGCTGCTGGGAAGCTTTCAATAAGTTGGATTTTAAAGGAACAAAATTGATTAACTCTTGCATGCTGAGACTGCCTTCCTTGCTGTCTGCTCATAAAGCATGTTTATGTCTGTTGGTGGGTTCCAAACTAACGTGCTCCTATGTGTAAAGTTCTTGTGTCCTAAGAATGCTTCTTCAGCTTATGCTTCAGATCGTTTCTTCCAAATGTATGCAGCTGATGATTGCATTGTTTCCAGTGTCCAAGCAAGCACCAACCTCCTATTTACCGGCTTCATCCTTCACAAAGAAGCTACACTGTTTTATAGTAATACATATTAATTATCCTACTGATTCTTTCCTCTATCAGTTCTGACTGTACCTTCAGTACTGACTATATGAATAGATATAGGAGAAGCTCAGTAATGTTTGCTTGGACACTTGGTCTGGAGTCTGTAATACAGTGGCAAATTTCTGGATAGTTTTTAAAGGGGAAAAGAATGTACACAATTTTCATGTGAGGGCCTAGTAAACACAACCCAGAAAGATTCAGAAAGCAAAGCTTCTAATGAGCAACTAGTTGAATCTTCTACCATCACTAGTGACAGTGAAGGATTCAACTACCCAGATACCTTTCGATGAAAGGAATACAGCAAATAAAACCATCAGATTCCAAATTTGCAGACTTCAGCTCTGAAAATTAATATGGAATATTTCACAGGAGATAAGTCTAAGAAAAAACTAAAAGAAAACATATCATCTTAAATACACTATACTATTATACTGAGTACACACTCCTCCAGGATATACCATGTAGAAAGCAACAGCCCAAATAAATCATAAATCATATCGTTTGACTTCAAATATAAGAAGTAAGCATAAAGAAAGCAGAAGCTAGGTCAAATAGCAACAGATGAGTAGAGGAGAATAATACAAACCACAGAACACCTCAGACAAATCCAGAATAATTTTTCAATATTTTGAAGAAATCAAAATAAAAGAAAGATTAAGTAGACAGAAGTTAGTGGCTGTGTCTATACCAGTATATAAAATAAACCAACAACAATTCTGTAGCCCAAGAACATGTGATGCCAGACAACCCATATCAATATAGCTAAACTCTCTTTTCCTCCAAAATGGTATGGCCTTGTCCCACACTGCCTGTAGGGAACAATAACTGGTTTGTGCTTCTTCCCAAATGCTCCTGTGCACCCCCT